CCCCAAAACCCCAAAACCCCATGAGATCGAATATTTAAAAAATTTGCGGAATTATCAATTAAAGTCTAATTTAATGTTATAAAGTACAAATTCTAACTCATACTAGTCCCTTAATTTTCAAGTGGAAAATAATATTTTCCACAGGAATGACTCAGGGTTTTTATGTTAGAACTCATAACTATAGTCAATCCGTTGAGATGAATCTAATCAGATCAAGGACAGTCTTACCCTAGATACTCACGTTGTGGATCTGAGAATGGTAGACCTTGCTGAAATACCAGCTGTTGAAATAGACATTTGGCTGGTGTTGTGCTGACTCTATAAATTTTTCTCGTCCTTTGTTGTCGTGTATGTGTTCACGTACTTTTTCTTAATATAAAACTTCTCAATCACAGATTTACCCTCCTTGTACTTTTCAGATTCAACATAGGCTAAGTCCTAAATTGGAGTTAAATATCATGGAATTATAGAGTAAAATGATTTAAAAGAGGTTATGTTGGTTGGAAGTCATCAGAATTTCATTCCGCAATTCCATTGTGACTTCGAATATGATAAAATAATCTCAAATTTATAAAAATGAGATCACTCATCAACAGAGTAAAGGATAAGATAAGATAGACTTACATAAGTCCAACCAACAACTTGCAAGCATTGTTTGCAGTATATATCTCTGACTTAGTGCAAGCCAGTTGATAAATGCTTATCTTCAGCGGGTCCTGTCTAAACATTCATTCTATATTAAAGATGATTGTTATGACTTCCACCCTATTTAAGTTTTCTCTCCCAATCCAGATTTGGAGAGTTAGGAGCAATTGTTGTAATTAGGATACTTACACATTAGAGAAGAGATATGCCTTCCCAGTTTTGCCGTGAAAAGTCTAAGAAAAAGTTTATAATCTAGTGGGAGAAATGGGTGCTACTCTACTTTGGGAGTAAAGATGCTTACTCTCGAGACGATATCATACGGGGTAGTCAAGTGGGTGTTACAGTTCTTACAAACATACACAGCGTCCACTCCTTCCGAATATTCCAAATGCAAAAATCCCATTTAACTTCTAATCTTAATTGCTGCAACTACAGGGATAAATGAGTTGAGGGAGTATTATAAATTTGAGCTTACTCTAAATGATGTGAAATAAAATATTGAATTATTATCCTAAATCAAACAGATCTTATTTCTATTGCAACAGCAGTGCCCAATTCTTCCATATGGGGTTTTGGGGTTTTGGGGTTTTGGGGTTTTGGGG